TAACACAAACAGATGTAAAGTGCATAGATAGAAAAAATAGTCCATGTAAAAATCAAACAAAATATAGCACGATGGCTATACTAATGTCAGACAATAGACTTTAAAGAAAATAAATAAATAAATAAATATATTTTTTAAGATACTGAGAACATTTTGTTTTAATAAACGATCTAAAATTTAAAGTCAAAAACTACTACTTGAACTACTTAATAATTAATCAAATCAGTAAGAGCAACTACAAACTTTTACACACCTATTCACAAACCAGAAAAATGAAGCTTAGCTTATAGAATTGAAGGGAGAAATACAAACTTCTGCAATAACAGAATTTTTTAATAGCCACTGTGAACAGAACAGAACAACCAGACAAAAGTTAAGTAAGGCTATAGAGAATTCAAACAAGATAAAAGACCTACTATACTTGACAGGTTTATACAAAATATACTACCTAAACAAGAACAAACATGCTCTTTCCAAGGCACAGCAGATTATTTCCCAGAATTTGTCTATCAAAGCCACAAACAGAGTTTCAATAGATTTAAAAAGATAACATGCAATGGCTTCTCTAACCACTATGGGATGAAGTTAGAAATCAACAAAGAAGTAAAACTGAAATTAACAAATCTGTGGAACTGAAATAACTCATGCCCACTTTATCTGTATCAAGCCAAAAGTAGAAGAAAAACTGCAGGAAAGACAGAGAACTATTGATAGGCACAAAGAAGAAATATACTACTGGCAGAGGACTGAGCACATCACAAATGAGAAAATATTAAAAATATGTTGTGGTAGGTCAGAGCTTGGGCAACATTCAATCTGGCAGACTGAGAGATAACAGGGGAAGAAAAATTTATACTACTACAGGCCCTGAAGAAAGAAACAACAATGGATTAGAACTAATATTTAAAACTATAAATAATGCAAGAAAACTTAGCAGGAATTTTAGTAAACCTAAGTTTAGAATGACCAAGTGAAAAAATTAAGGGGGAAATCATCAGTGTTTTACAATATATCCTAGTGTAAAACTATCAAAATTCTAAGACAAAGAAATTCTCAAGACCACAAACAAAAAGATAAAATTAATTAACAATAACATACAAATCAAGACAATAATGGGGCAGTGTAGCTTAAAAACTATAAAAATGTTCACTTCATACTCAGTCAACCTATACTCCAAATATATATACGACAATGAAAGACAGTTTTTTTTACATATATTTTTACATATACTTTACATGTAACAATTGTTACATGTAACAGTTTAAAAAATTATACATAGGAAGTTTTCTTGAGTGGATAAACTTCTCACAATCAAAAGGAATTATTTAAATTCCTTTCTCCTTTCAGGAAAAGGGCTAAAAAAACCCAAACATTTTAATATAAAAGTAAACCTGCAACAAAAATAGATGGGGATGAGGAAGGAAAACTAATATATAAATGTCAGTATGTTGTGACAAAAAAAAAAAAAAAAAAAAAAAAAAAAAAAAAAAAAAAAAAAAAAAAAACCACAAACAAAAAAAAAACTGGGAGACTTTAGGGAAAGAATATTCACATTGATTTTTATGTAGGCAATAGGTAGATATTAAAGTGTACTTTAATTTCAACACTAAGGGTATATCAATGACAAACCTAAAACTAAAACTTCTAGAACAAAGCAGAAAGGAAAAAAATCTGTGTAACCTTGCATTATACAAACTTGTTTTAGATTTTATATGAAAAGCATAATCTACAAGAGAAAAATTAATGAACTGGACTACAGCAAAATTAAAAACCTTTGCTCTGTGAAAGACACTGGTAAGAGAATAATAAATCAAACCACAGAGAAAATATTTCCACTTCACCTACCTGGCAAAAGACTTTTATCTTGGTTAGAAAAGGACTCTAAAATCTTCAACATAAGATAATGAACAACTCAATAAGGAGAAATGGACAAAGAATCTCAACGTTGGTGTCATCAAAAAGATATATGGGCAGCAAATAAACACAAGAATAGATTTTCAACATATTCAGTCATTAGGAAAATGTAAAGTAAAACCACAATAATAATAACTACTTTACAGTTAGCTTTTTAAAAAGGAAACAATATATTTATTTTATATTAGTATTATCATCTCTTTTGGAGAGAGTATATGTGTTTTTTTTAAATACTGCTTCCTTTAACTAGACAAAGTTTTAAATACTTATTTTGTTTACCTGAAGGATGTTGTTCCATTCTCTTTTATTTTACTTTTCTGTAGAGAGGATCCTCGAAGAGACAGAATTTTATTTCCTGGCATAGTAATCTGTTTTAGAATAGAAGCTACAAACAAAAGAAATAAAAAAGTAGGGGAAAAAAAATCATGTAAGTGAAAAAGGCAGTGTAGGCTGCTTTATAAACTTTCTTAAATTCAAACATGACACTAAATTTATTGTCATCACAAGAAAGCACATTACAAAATCAAGACCTTTTCATTATTTTCTGAGTCTTTAAACTGTACAATTTTCAGCACTATGAAAATATGCAGAAAAAGTGACAAAACATTTGTAAATTTTTAGGTTACGTCACGAAAATTCTTATGGGCATGATTGATTTTTAGAATTTTAGAAATTTAGGAAAACCTGTATGTTTTTAAAATAAGGTTGTAACAAATGTTATAAGTTCAAAAAGAACTTACTAGCAGATTGTTATACCAAGTACAAAATATCATGAGTAGTCATTTCTTTAATTCTAAAACAATATTAGCTCTACAAAGTGGCTTGCAAATTCAAAAAATGCAACAGTTATCTTTCAGTTTTCTCTCATAGGCAAGAAATTATAAGACCAAATCTCCCTTCTCTTAATATAACAACAAAAACAGTATAAAACTCCACCATATTATAAACCTACTATGAAGGGTCAGAGTCTACCTGGAGGAAATTGAGTAGTTGGTACTGCAGTGCTCACTGGCATTTTCTGTCCAGTTTTCTGAAGGGTCAATGCTGAAGAATGGGAAAGGGTGGTCACTTGTTTTGCAATTCCTCCAGAAGGCTGCTGGACTACCTGAAACAATGAGAACTGTCAATATAGTCATTCAACTAAATTGGCTTTGGGAAAAAAACAAGTATTCAGTTGTAACAATAGAACACTCAATTGTAAATATACCATCATTTTAACATGACAAAGAGGCCTATTTAAAATTTAAAATATGCAGGCAAGATTACCTTGTTCAAAAGTGAAAAACATGACTAATATATGTACTATCTTTTAAAATAAGTCAATTTACATTTCACACTGTCCAGTTTAAATATCCACATGGATCCTATTTTCATTTTTAAAGAAAATTTTAAAACATATATAAACAGAGAGAGAATAATAAAATATGCCATTACTCCACTTCAACAAATGACTATTATAATTCTTCACCAATCTTGTTTCCTCTATATCCATCCCTATGAACTTCTCTGCCATCCCCAATTATTTCAAAGCAAATCCCAGATATATCTTTTTAATCCATAAATATTTTAAAATATAGCTCTAAGTGATAGGAATTTTAATGGGCTTTTTTTAAGAGTATCTGGAAAACGACAATGCTAATGGCACTTTCCAAGATAACAACGGTTCAAGAAATACAGAGAATTTGGATAAAGAGAAATTACATTAATTTACAAGTTCTTATTTTTAACTTCAAAGAAAAAACAGAAGTTTTTCACTTCAAAGGAGGAAAGTCACCATACACACACACACACACTTTACAGATTTAATTATTTATGCATACAGAACTGGGGTAGAGGCCAGAGGTGCAGGGGCGGTTGAAAGGACCCACCAGAGACAGAGCATAACAGACAAGTGCACTGCTGAAGGGAGCATGGGCAGGTCAGCAGAGGTCTGCTGCACCATGTGGGTCACCTCCAGGGCAGGAAGTGAACTCATGCTGAAGTGGCTTTAGCTACTTAATGCTGTGCTTTTAACCCACTGTGCCACCAGGGAGGGCCCACCACTATATATTTTAAAAATCTATTGATAGTAAACTATTCAGAAACTCTTAAACTGATACATGGTTTATATAATCAAGTAGGTAAAAGGGTTCTACAAAATTTTCGGGGTACAATTTATTCTGTAGTCTAATATTTTGTAGGAATTAATGCCCCAGGCATTATCTTAGAAATGGAATTATTTTAGAAAGATGGAAACTAACCCATAGAAGAGATATTTGTTCCTACTTGCAGGCAAAAGAAAGAAATACTATTTTTTCTAACTTAACGATGATTGGAGTATCTGATAAGAAAGTGTTCTTAAATTCCAGAAAGAAGCAAAAGAAACACAAGCATGGAAACAAGTTTATGAGGACGTCCCACATATTTTTTTCCTCTTTATTTCAACCCCATTCACTCTTCTCTTCATAAATACACAGAAATGAAGTATCTCAAAATAGCAAAAGAAGTGTATGCACATAAAAGTGCTAGAATCAAGAGTAATAGCTCCTTTAATTTCTCTATATTATTCAATAAGTACTGGTATAAATCACCAAAGTTGAATTCTAGATAGCAGAGTCCCAACTATATAAAAACTGTTGCATAGAAGTCTAAAAATACAAGTTAGTCGCCAACTCTTTCTTAGGAACAGTCAAATTAAGGTTTTTGTGCCACTCTTCCTAGATTCTAGGATAATGGCATATACCACCAAATGTGGACACTTCTATTTAACTATACTTAGCATTGGATCTTAGCACAAAACTCCAATAAAAATCTTGAAGCCAAATTAAAACTCAGGCCCAGTAAACCTCAGAATATGATATTTCTTTAAAGGCTCTTCTAAATACTTTATAAAATTTGCTCAAATTAATTCCTAATTTTATTACCAGCTTTTACTGGAATCAGCAAATATTTCAAATTGAAAACGTATATACGTATACAATATACACATTGTATACCCATTCACAAATCCTGCCACCAGTTTTTAAGTAGCTCAGGAAAAGAAATGTTTGGGTGTGTGAATAGAGAGAGAAAGAGAGAAAGAAGAGCAAAACAAATGTGGTAAAACATTAATAACTGGTCAGGTGCAGCCAAGGGCATATAAGGGTTCATTTTTACTAGTCTCTGAAATTAGAAATTGAGGAAAAAATGAAACATTACTCACTAGTTGCTTGACTTTAACTGTTTGTGGAATACTAGCTGGTTGTGAAAGAATGGGGCCCGACTGTGAAAGTTTGATTTGAACTGGAGCGCCAACGACAGGCTTGTCACATGCAGTCCCAGCAGAAGTAACAACAGGCTTCATAGATGGAAGACAAAGTGCTGCTGCTGAAGTTTCTCCTATAGCTACCGATGGGAGGGTCAGTGTTACTGCTGCCCCGGAGACAGCTGGTGCTTCGGGCTGAAGTGAGACTGCTGTAACTGCATTTTGTATACTTGTCATCAGTGGTTTTGGAGTCTGAAGTAAAACAGTTCCAGCTGTTGTTCCCCCTGGTACAGCAGGTTGACCCACAGAATGAAGAGTCACAATGCCAGTATTTGCTCCCCCTGGAGCACCAAGTGGATTCAGAGTTTGTACTGACATAGTTCTGGGTGTTGATCCAGAAACAATGATCGGTTTTTCAGACTGGATTGAGGAAATTGTTGTTGTAACCACAGGAGAAGGTGTTGCTGATGTGGCACAGGTAGTAATAACTACCTCACTAGAAGTCTGCTGAACACACTGCTGAATAAAGCTCTGGGAGTTAGGTATAAGTTGTCGTAAGGCAATCACGCTTTTCTAGAGACAGAGAGGGAGGGAAGAACACTGATAGCTAAGTAATTTATTTAGCCACTACAAAATAAAACAACTTTGAATTTCACATCTTTACAAAATAAAACTATTATCAAGTTTTTCCGTAGAGGAAATCTGTTCACTTATTTATATTTGGTCAATATCCAAGATAAATCAATTTAAAGCCCAAAAGTACTTTATTTTTCAATACAAAATTGGTGTATCTCAGTATTTATCTTATTATAGTTAATATAGCTCTGTATCATTTTGGCAAAATAAAAAAACACCATATCGTACTCGTTCATATTCATCTAAACCACATAGCCTTAATAACTTTAGTATCTATTTTAAGTTTAAATTTATATGACATCAGAATCTAAAAGCAATTTTGCTAAATACCTTTCAAATTTTGGATTGAAATAGTCTCTTCATTAAAATAATACTGTCACAAACAAGGTAACTTTCCTCAGCTAAGCTAGATTATTTTCTGACTGGATTTTAAGATGTTGCCTATCTTTGTAGTAGCTGAGTTACGACAGTTCAAACTAAAAAGTTAGTGTTCTACCTTTTTATTTTGTTTTTAAATAAGCGAAAGAGATGAAAAAGAAGATAGATAGCAGGTTATCTTCTGGTCATGGACTGTTTTTGAAGATTTTCTTGTTTTCATATTTAAATTCAATACAACTGTATTTAAGAAACAAATGAGTACTATCACTCCTCCTTTCATTTGCATTTAATTCCCTTTATATTTTCTATTTAAAAAGATTAAGAAAATTCTTATATGACCTCCTTAGACAAGAATTTATAAATATGTAAATTTTTATATATTTTTGTATAAATTTATAAAACAAGGAAAAACAAGAAGCTGAAAGGGTTATATAATCTTTTCCAAATGTTAAAAATGGTAGAAAGCAAGAAACAGTTGTTTTGGAAATACAAATGAAGTGATGTGGTAAAGAGATCTAAGCCAGAGATCTAAGGTGAAGGGGGTTCTGAGAAAATTTCCAAAAGGCAACTCCTAATTCTATTATTTCAAAATGTATGGGTTAAGTCTTTGGTTCACTAGTTACAAATCTTTAATAACTTTACAAATTTCAATTCTATTTCATTTCAGATTTGAGTGTCCAAAAGAAATACTTTTCCTGCCAAGCCAAGTTCTCACTAGTAATTATTGTTATCTATCAAATTCTATTTAATTCGATAAATCACCAACAGGAATATGAGAACATAAGTCATTTTTTTTAATATTAGCCTTCCCACTAAATTTGAAAAGTATATGGTTTATTATTTCTTTTCATAAAAATTCAAAAAAAATTTTTTAAAATTTATTTATGCATAGAAGAACTGGGGTGACAAAGATATAGAGGAGTGAAAGGGTTCATCAGAGACTATTCTGGGGAGCAGAAGACGCCCATCTACTAAAATACAATGCTGAGGGAAGCAGTGGGTGAGATAGAAGTCTATTGGTCCATAGGGTCAATTCCTTGGTCAAGGATGGAACTCATGCAGCAGTGGCTGGTGATAGCTTGTTAGCACTGAGACTTTTTAACTCCTGTACCACCAGGGAGGCCCTGGTTTATTTTTCTAAGAAAACATGAGTCATTAGGATAAAGAATAAGGTTTTAAATGTATTTTTAGTAAGTCAAGAATCTTTATGCATATAAGCATTAAACAATAAAATGTTTCATTATTTTGTTAATGTTAATTCTGTTTTCTCAGTGTGTTCCAATCCAAAGGGTATAGTTTGTGAAAATATTTTACAAATACAAGAGTACTGAATGATTTCTCCTATATCGTTATTATCTTCATATTAAATTGCTATCATATTGAAATATTCAGGTTTTGAATTTTAAAATAACCAATCCAAACAATTTCTTCAAAGTCATATATGACTCTACCTTAAGAAAAGGAACTAGGTGAGGCTGTGGTGAAGACTTGAGTTCAACATACAGTTGTCGAGTAAATTCTTCTGCTTCAATTTTTGCATCCTGAGGAATGAGAGAAAGAACACACTTTTTAAGCCTGACAATATTTTAAAAGAGAAAGGATTCATGACTGAAGACACTGCAAGCTGTGCAGTGGTAAGAAGACCACTAAATGGGGTCATTTTAGCATGTGAAATGAATAAACAAAAAATAGAGATGTTTGTTCATTCAGAACAGAACAAAGGGATGATTCTTTTTTAAAGATCCCTATAGGCAAAATGATAGAAGAGCTGGTTCACAGAAGAGACTATCGTATTACAGTTTCTTAAGAAAAATTAAGAGGTAAAGACACCAGAGTCCTAAATTTCTTAAAGTAGGGAGTAGTAAGTTATTTGTTTGGGGGCCCTTGCTTTTTCTTGCTTTGCTTTTTCAATTTTTAAATTACTTTAACTAGGTAAAACTATATTTTTAGAATGCTATCACACAGCCAAAATTATAGGTACCCTATTGTTCCAAAGGCCGTAGGAACAACACTGTCCCTAAGTTCCATACTGGTTTACATTCTAACCTATTCAGACACCTATGAGGCCTAAACTATAATCATGGTAACAAATTTGGGGGGCCTTTTTCACTGTGCTGAGATTTGTACTGACGGTACAAAAACAACAGTGGGTAAAACTGCTGGCAAGAAAGGAAGTGACAACAAACTGAAATAATCATCACATTCTATATTACTATACACTTATGGTAAAAAATAAATAAAATCAGTTTCACTTTAAACTGTCCTTGATGAGGTAGTAAAAATTCATTTTAGTAAATCTTAATCCTTCAGTAAATGCCTTTTTATAGTACTAGGTATAATAAAAGAGAAGTCACAAATAGACCATTTCTGCTTCAGACCAAAGATAGACGATCAGTGAATAACACTGTGATTGAGTTACTAGTCGAACCGAACGAGCTGTTTTTCATTTAACTGCAAAGTCAAATGAACTGTGGGTATTCAGACTTGGATATCTGATAGACATTTTGTCAAACCAACCAAGCCTGTCACTATGAAGAAAACAACTGACAACAATTGTTGCTAACAATAAAAATTAAAGAACTCACACCAAAACTAAAATTCTGGATAAGTTGTATCCACAACCCTTAACTTAGCAGCATCCCAGTATTTAATTTTATGATGAAATTACAACTATGATTTTATTTTCTATCTTAGATAACAAATATGCCAATCTTTGGGAGATCTGTATAGCTCAATGAGCAGTGTTTTCCGAAAGACCAAATGTATGTTATTACAAAATTCATGCATAGATAAATAAGAGATCTTTTGGGAGTGTAAGATCAATCATCAAACTCTAAATAATCTAAGTGACATGGAGAGAAAATCTCTTAAAACACTCTCTTTCCCATCTTACCTTTCTGTATGAGGTCAGATATTCACCAAATACTTTGACCAAAGTTAACATACCATAATACAGGATAAATGCAGAAGCAGATAAGGGAATCCAACTCTATTAAGTCAGATATTATGGACATTTACAAAGATATCCCTTATTCAATTTTTCATTTTGGAAACTAGTTTTAATTTAAATGTTATTTATGTTAACAACAATGGACTTATTGTCAGTTTTTAACAAATTGGTAAATTTATATTTTTTTAATTTCAAATTCAAGCTCCGTTACAAAAGCAAGATATCTTTCAGAGTCCTTAATTTTTAAGAATATAAAGGTATCCAAAGAAAAAAACTGTTTGACAATTGCTATCTGCTGTTTTATGCTAAAGAGGTCATAAGGCAGAAAAGTATTAGATTAATATCTGACTGCTCCTAGCTATTAACAAACTTCACACAAATTATTTGTACTTGGACACTTTAAATGTTTACTGAATATTCCTTTACTTCATTCTTTTTTCCTCTAAAGTATTTATTTCATCTCTGAGAAACAAGTCACCAAATTCTCTTTCAAAACTAGCATGGCTTGAAAATGAGATAAAGCTTAATGTTTAGTTTTTTTAAAAATACTCAAATTAAAAACTTACTTTTATGAACATAATTTTAAGTACCTAAAACAGTTTTCTCAAATGGAAAACTAACCACTTGAACTGTACTTTTTTTTTTTTAAAAGATTTATTTATTTATGTATAGAGACTGGGATATAAACTAGAGGTGCGAGGGTGAAGAGGATTCACCAGAGGCAGAGTGAGGAGCAGAACAGGCAGACTGATGAAGTATACTACAGTGGGCAGGTCAGGAGAGGTCTGTGGCGCCATGTGGGTCACCTCACTGGCCGAGGATCAAACTCGTGTTACAGTGGCTGCAGAGAGCGTCATAGCACTGTGCTTTAATCCACTGTGCCACCAGGAAGGGCCCCTATGCTCTACTTCTAACAAATTATAGATAAAATAAAAAACGGCAATAAAAAAGGTATTTTAGTATTTTTAAACTATGCTTGTATTTCTATACATCATTTGAAATATACATGTCATATACTGGGGAAAGATGACCACTTTTATATTAAAAAAATCACAAAATTTTCATTACATGGTCAGAAAAATTGTAGATTTCAGAATTTAAAAAAAAATCCCATGTATCTGTCTGTTACAGCCTCAGAATATAGTTTAGCCATATTATATGCAACATTTGCTAATTTCCACTTTCATCTATTTTAATGTATCCAAGCATTTCATCTGAAAAAGATATAAGAAAACTAAGGACATGTAATTTTGTAGCTTAAAGACACACTATACTTGGCATTTTCACAAACCTCAAAGACCTCAAATTTATTCTTTTCAATTAAGAAGAAAACTGAAACCTTCAAAGATTAACTTTTACTTTCACAGGTTCCAAATTTTGTTGTTTGAACATAAAACTGAATTTCGTTATCTGCAAATAGCCTGACTTTCTGGCATTTGCTATTCTACTAACAATTTTTTATTTGACCAAATAATCAACCTTCCCTCCAAGGCATCTTTTTAGGTAGCCTAAAAAAACCTTATCTCCAAGGTACAGAAAGTAATATATATCAGATTTACTTGTTTAAGATTTACAAACATTATATAGCCTCAGGAAACAAAACCAAAGTTTAAAAAAAATTTTCATTTAAAGTAAGCTTCATTTAAAAATATTAATTTCCCATTTGAAACACATTCTAAGAGTTACAAGTTTTACAGTAATTATAGACCTGCAAGTTTTACAGTACTAACTTACCAAAAGTTGTTCCACCAGCTTTTTCACATTCTGTCCCATTTCTGGAGACTGTGATCCACTACATGCTAGTTTGATTAACATTGCAAGGAAGTTCTTACATTTCTTCACATTTTCTAGCATTGCCTAATACAGAAATACAAACACAAATGTTAACTAGAAAGTAGAATTTGAATAAATCTTTAAAGAACTGTATTGATGTAAGAAAGGTACAAGTGAGAGCTTACCGGAGACAGGTTTGTCTGAGCAGCTCCTGAATTCTCTACTTTCAGATTGGGCTCATTTGAAGGGGCAGGTAATGCTCCCAAATTTGAAGGCTTCAAGTTAGATATAGTATTCAAAGGCTTCACTGGTGTAACTGTGACATTAGATGGCACAGCCAAAGACTGAAATTAAAAGTAGCCTATATTTAGATGTGAATTACTATCATATGTATCACAGTGGTACCCCATTTCACAAATACCAGACTACAAATGGATCCTGCCTAACATCTTGCTTTTGTCTACTAATCTAAGGCAATGTAACACACCTTTAAGAGTCCAGAATCTAGCAGATCTGGGATTCATTCTCAACTACCTACTTTTCAATGACACCTGCTGAGTGCTGAATTTAAGCAAATTGCCTTAATCCTATTAATCCTGGTTCCCATTTAAAAAACACCAATTAGCAATGATACCCACTATTTAGAACTGTTAGTCCCAACCACATACATCCTTAGTTGTTATTAATACTTCTCTAATTAACACTTGCAATAGCAACTAGTTATATAAAAATATATCAGTGATATTACCTGTTCTGTAATTTTCTGCTTTTTAAGTATAAAGTAGAGAGAGCTACTGGCCACTTTATGTTCAGACAAGCTACTTATATGTACACTATCAGTGTGAGTATAATGAATATTATAAAATGTAGTAACCTATTCACACCAAAAAGCATTTCAGTTGTTTCTTTCACTCTACTGAAATGAGGTGTGATTATAGCACCACCTGCAGGATAAAATGTTTAATACATACAAGAAATCATAGTTGTAAAGAATTTACATAAAGGAGATAAAAAAGCAATAACCTAAATTTATTTTATTTAAAGATTTGTGTTTTTTATGCTTACAGAACTGGGGTACAGGCCTGAGGTGCAGATGGTGAGAGGATGCACCAGAGACAGAGTGGGGAGCAGAAAAGGCAGACTGACAAAATACACTGCTGAGGGGAGCAGCAGTCGGGTCAGGAGGGGTCTGTCACACCATGTGGGTACCTCTCTGACCAGGGATTGAACTCAGGCTACAGTCCCTGCAATAGCTTCATAGTGCTGCGCTTTAACCTGCTGTGCCACAGGGAGGGCCCAATAACTTCATTTTAAAAACACTAAAAGTCACAGGATATGAGTAAAGTTTGGGGGTGTGTGTAGAGAGAAAAGTATATAGAATTCACACTGAGAACCAAACTTTGCACTATCATTTGAATTTAAATACTGTGTGTTCCCATGCCTTTTGCAGCAACATGGATGGAGCTGGAAAAGATAATGCTTAGTGAAATAAGCCAGAAAGAAAAGGAAAAACACTGGATGGTTTCACTTGGTGTATAAATTAGGACCAGGCGAGAAAATAATAATAAACAACTATATACCAGAGGCATTTTATGGGGGTCGAATGGTATAAAAAATGGTGGGGGGAGGGAAGTGCACTGGACTATGGCACCGGGTGATTTGGTGGTGGGAAGTCCAATGGAATTACAACTGAGATGGAACAAGGCATAAAATGATGTAAAAATAAACATATTATTAAAAAAATAAAAATAAATGCTGTGTATTCTACAGGCTGAACAGTTTCGTGTTGCTATCATCTTCAAGAAAATTTCCTTCTGTAAAATCAAGACAAGTGAATTTGTTTGTATGTACATCCAAATTTCCATGTAAAAAAGACTAGAACCTATATTAGACAAGAATGCTTAAACTTTTGCTTTTATTTTAAAATCTTTTTTTTTTTTTTTTAAAGATTTATTTGTGCATACAGAGCTGGGTACAGGCCAGAGGCTCAGGGGCAGCGAGAGGCTTCACCAGAGACAGAGTGGGGAGCAGAACAGGCAGATCGACGAAGTACACTGCTGAGGGGAGCAGCGGGCGGGTCAGGAGAGGTCTGCCCCACCATGTGGTCACCTCCGGGGCAGGCGGGAATCGAACTCATGCGGAAGTGGCTTTAGCTTCTCAGTGCTGCGCTTTAACCCACTCTGCCACCAGGGAGGGCCTATTTTAAAATCATTTTAATGCACAGTGCTTGATGCTACTTGCACTTGTCTAGTAGCTCCACAGTACTGAGGCTTTTAAACAAGAAAAAGACATGGTTGAGTGTAAATGAGAAAGAAATCAAAAACACTGATTAATGGCAAAGATTAATACTAAAGATGAAATGTTAATCAAAAATAAGTAAAGCAAGGCCCTCCATGGTGGTGCAGCAGGTTAAAACACAGCACTAAGAAGCTAAAGCCACTTCAGTATGAGTTTGATCCTCACCCCAGAGGTGACCCACATGGCACAGCAGACCTCTCCTGACCCGCCCGCTGCTGGCCTGAGCAGTGTACTTTGTCATTATGCCTGTTTTGCTCCCCACTCTGTCTCTGGTGAATCCTCTCACCACCCCTGCACCTCTGGCCTGTACCCCAGCATAAGTAAATAAATCGTTAAAAAAAAAAAAGTAAAGTAAAAAATCTCAAAACAATGAAAGTGAACTCTATCCTTACTCCTCTACCTTTAGGGACAACTATTGTGCAGTTTTCTTTGAATCATTTTTCAGATTTTCTTATAAACATTTTTTTTTGGTTTATGTAGAGCAAATACTCATTCTTCCGTAGTATATTCTATACTGAGCATAAATAAAATCTTTGTTTTACTATATTTTAAAAAGTGTGATCAGAACCCCTAATAAGATTATGACCTTTCAAGAATGAAGAGATGAATTCCTGAAGGAAATACAGTCAACAAAGAGCTATCCCAATGAAAAGTGAACACTGGAAAAGTATCCCTTTTGTTTGATTAGAAGCAAAATTTATGATATTTCTACTTTCTTGTTAATATTTTATTCTATTTCCAATATAAAATTTATCCTTTGTAACTCTTTTTAATATAGTTACTATACCTTATCAGACATAAGGCTCCTTCCATGCCAATTCCAACTCTTTAGAGGCATGAAAGGTATAGATAACCTAGTTTTATCCTATCTACATATTTCCACTGAAGTAATGGATGGATGGCCTTAAATTCTCATCATAACTCTGCCTTGATGTTCTAGATCAGCCAATGGAACTGCCATGCTTTGTAGGTCATTTTGCTACTGATTATAAGCAAACCTTAGAGACAGGAGGGATAAGCATTGGTAGACATGTGAAATACACTTGTGAAAATCTCTTAAAGCTAGCAAAATGAATTGTAAGCAATTTTAGATGAATAAACTACATTTTTAAGGAGTCATTTTTTAGACATGTCTGAAATCACTTTGGGTTTGTTCCCATTTAATCATAAATGCTACTTCTAAAACCAGTTATTTGCATAGTAGAAGTTAACCTAACAAAAGGCCAATATACATAAAATACAACATAAAACCAAACATGATTTCACATTGGTTCCTGTGTAACATTTACTAAATAAAACCATGTTTTACTATGGAACTAACTGTGGTCCACTCTACTAGATAAGCTATCCAAGGGATGAACCACATTATGTTTTAAGCAAATTTTAAACAAATTTCAATGTCTATTAATAGGCGGGGATCAAATGCATGTGGAAGTGGCTTTAGCTTCTTAGTGCTGTGCTTTAACCCACTGTGCCACCAGAGAGGGCCCAAAATTTCTTAATACACATTTAAATTTGTATTCAAAGAATACTGTCTTCTCTATTTTCAAGCTTTAGCTCTTTTTTTTTTTTTAAGATTTATTTATTTATGCTTACAAAACTGGGGTACAAGTGGAGGTGCGGTGGGTGGGAGGATTCACCAGAAACAGAGACCGCTCTAGCTCGTTTTTTAAAAAGATTTATTTTTCAAAAAGATTTATTCATGCATCAAGAACTGGGTGTAAGCCAGAAGTGCAGGGGGTGAGAGGATTCACCAGAGACAGAGTGGGGAGCAGAACAAGCTGACTGACTGAAATACACTGCTGAGGGGAGCAGCAGGCGTGTTAGAAGAAATCTGCCATACCATGTGGATCAGCTCTCCAGCTGGGGATGGCACTGGTGCTGCAGTGGCTGCAGATAGCTTCATAGTGCTGTAGTATAACCAGTTGCACCACCAGGGAGGGGACCAAGCTCTAGCTCTTTACTTCCACGCAAAACCTAAGTCTAAGGTACTTTATACCTCAGAGTGGGCACAAGTATTATTCCTCAATTTCACTATTCTACCACACTTGACCTACCATCCACTGAGAAGCAAGCCACCTTAAAACATACACTAATATTAAATAGAAAAAGTTGTAAACAAACAACCCACATCAATACTTGACAAATATATGTAAAAATAATTCAAGGAAAAGAACTAGGTGATCCAGATATACTATTTTTAAAGCAATCAAATGTACTAAATCTTTAAGATACAGTTACAATGGAAAAAACCTGTCTACTATATGGCTAGTGTAATGAAAACCCATTTACACTACCAGTTAAGCTAAACAATATTTGCAGAATTAGTAGTTGACCATGAGGGGAATCTAGCATGGATAGTGAAGGAGGAAAATGACACAGAACAGCTACAGCAGTAGGGACATACTGACCTCTCCTTTGTTGTTACCCCAAGAAAGAAACCCACTGGAATCCCAAAAGTAGAGGAAGTAGATGCCAGCAGTGCAAAGTGTAGACTATCTGATCAAAAGGAGAAATCTGTGTTGTCTTAGCTGCTGGCAATGCTATTCAACAGCCTCCAGTTTTCAGTTCCTTAAGAGTTTGTCTCAACTACAGAAAAATGGCTTTTCCCAGGAGCACAACTCCCCTTCAAGAGCCTAAGTCTAATAATTGACCACAGAGGGGGCATTAAGAACCTGCTGATCATGTTGGCACAGAGTGGCACAACTCTGACAAGCTGTTTTTGCTTCAAATTTCTCTAACAGAGTGCTGAGGCTTTATTGGTTCTGTATCTAGTTTACTTACTTATTCTCTTTCCCTTTCACAAAACAGTTCTTGAAAAATAACCCATATATCAAAATTTGTTGCAGCACCTGCTTGTATGCATTGTGACACATGTCTATCAGGTGCATTTGCATTAATTTAATACTAGCTACTAAAAGTGATATCTAAGAATTACATCACATTTATTGTGTGATTCCCACACTTCTAACAGCTCCTAGTTTGATAAATGCTATCACATATCACTCAGTTGCACTATTGAATGCTACATAGTAACTTATACATATAGCAGAAAACAATTAAATAATAAAGAGAGATGAAAGAATAACCAAAGTACACAGGCAACAATTAAATCACCACTTACTGGTACTGAAGAAGGCTTCTGAACAGAGGTTACCACAGTAGTACCCATTTGTGCCAATTTTTTAACAGGTGCCACTGCCACATTCTTGATTAATTGTGAACTCGAATTCTGGAAGTGGGGGGTGGGAGGGAGATAATACAGTCATCAGTATTATTAATTTAAAATCAACCAGAACTGCAACAAACAATAAAACATTTTACCATAGCAAACTTCTTTGTTAGAACTGGTTTTACAACTTTATGGCTTTTTATGCACGACTCTACTGTGAACCTAAATGATTAACATTCCTAAGAAATCAGTTGGTTTAACAAAAAATATATATTTCATCAATAAAATCTTGAATTTTATTCTTTAGATCACAGAAAGCTTAGGTTTTTATTTAACAATGAACAAAAATCTATTAACCTATCTTAGCACCCTCACCAATACATGAAGGAAACTAAAAGGCAAGGAGGAGCTATTATTACCATATATAGTAGCAGAGAGAAAATGACTGGTTGAGAATCTAGAAGACAAAATGGGGGGAGGGAAATGAACTGGTAGAAAATAGAATCCAATCTTTTATCAGGATGAGCCTGAGTCAGTAAGACAATGCTACATACATGCAGTACTGACTGCTTAATGAAATAAAGATGCTGATAAAAAAATAATTCTTCTAATTCTGGCACAAAGATACAGTTTTAGTTACTAAGAAAGATTATTACGTATGCAAAATGAATAATTTTCTAAGTCTCAAATTCATGAAAATTTATAGCTGGTTCTAAATTTCTTAAAGGCAATGCCTGTAAAATGTAGATAAAAATGAATACTTGAAACTGCAGTCTTAACACTTTACTACAAATTAAAATTAAAATGGAATGGTTATTTTCTTTCTGTACAGAGATGCAAATAGTCCTTCAAACATTCTCTTGAGGACTACAAAATCTTTGAGTATGAAGACTAACATTTTATTATTTTAGTAATTACCAAACAACAAAGCCAAGTATTTTGATTAAATTAGCATGGGGTTAGGGGATTTAGATCACTTAAATTCAAAAAGTTGGGCAGAATCACATACATGCAAATGTGTACATATTTATATGGTGATAACACCTAGAAACTAATGAAGATGGGGGGAAAAAACTTAAAGGTATATTACCGGCATTGTACAAATTTTGACTGGCTGAGAATTTGTTGGTAGAGTTGGCCTTGAAGATATATTACTTGTTGTCTCAGGTCTTGTTACAGCTTGTTGAGGAGATACCAACATCAACTGTCCACTGTTACTTTTGATCAAAACTGTTCCTATAAATAAAAGGAAGAAAAATGGCTTCTGAGTTAGTAAAGGAAATATAATCACTATGTATTTTCTCCTCCATTTATTTCAACACTAAAAAATGCTGTTTAACAAGTGTTACCACCACGTTCCGAATCCCTCATCTATTATCAACAATCCAGAAACATGATTTCACTCAAAGCTACTTAAAACATTGCAACTCTGAGTACCTGAAAAGGAAACTCCTAAGAAGGCAAAAAAACACTTTTACCTCTATAACATCAAACAATTTATAAAGCTACAATAAGTAAAACACAGTGACACACAAAACCACATAAACTGACTAATGAAACAAAGAACCCAAAAACAGCATCATGGAGCTATGTCACATCAGGTTTTCATAAGGAATAATGAGTGCTCTTTGAATAGTGAGATTAAGAGAAACTATTCAAGAAGTCCAGGTGGTCCAATTAGTTATCTATATGGAAAAGATGGTAAGCGTACACTAGGTGCACACACAAGTACACACCGGCATTAAGTATACAAAGGGGGGAAGAACTTTTAAATTTAGACAATGTAGAAAATCATCTTTCTCAACTTGGGATATGGAAATTTTTTTAAGTTTGATGCAATAAACTATATTAAAAAGAAATTTTATTTAACAAAAGACAGTATCAGGTAAAAAGATAAAAACCATAAAATGGGAGAAAATTTTAGCTAATATATATTCAAAGGACAAATATCTAAAATGTACAAAAGAAACACTGATGACAAAGACAGGTAAATTAAGGTCACAGTGAGATAGCATTTTATATCTCCGTTGACAGATATAAATTAAACTAGTCCAATGAGGAATTGTTAAATTAGAGAGATGTGCAGTAAGTAGCAGGAACTCTAATATCTTAATGATAGTAGTATAAATTGGTAAATAGAATTAACTACATAAATATATCAAACTGATTTTCATTTGTATACACTTTAACCCAGTATCTCTAAAGAAATTATTGTTCTAAAAGCACAAACAAGAATACTCATAGTTGGAATTCCATTTTCAGAATGAGATAGCATGAAGACTTCAACAAATCCAGTCCAAGCAAAACAAGCATAACTGGTAAAGTTAATTCCAAAATTAAAAAAAAAAGATTTTTATTTATTTATACATACAATAACTGGGGTGTATAAGCCAGTGGGGGTGGGGGGTAGAGCGAGAGAATTCACCCAAAACAGAGTGGAGAGCTGGACAGGCAGATCCACTGAAACACAGTGCCCTGAGGAGAGCAGTGAGTGAGACAGGAGGAGTCTGCTGCACCATGTGGGCCAGCTACCTGGCCAGTATCAAACTCATGCTGCCATGGCTGGACATAGCCCAATAGCGCTGACTTTAATCCATGCGCCAACAGGGAGGTCCACCTATTTTAAAGTATTTTTAAAACAACCACTTTAAGTCTTTGGAAAATGTATTATGGCATACAAAAATGGATAAATAATTAAAGAGGATTCAATGCATAGTAAAGCTGAAGGAATCTGACATCACATGTGAACCAAATTGCTCCCATATTGGCTCTCAGAATGCCATAAACTACACTAAAATACAGAGCCCCCCTATCCTCCAAGCTCCCAGCTGAAGGCTGTGGAATCCTCCTGAGAGAAGTATACCATAAGCATCTCATCTTTCCCAAGTAAATCTATATACTGCAGAGGATAAATGTGAGACAATTCAGCTTCCCTTGAACACAAAGGGAAGACTCTACCTCAGAGATGGCAGAGTGAGTATAGGTTGTCCCCAATCATTCTCACCCTAGTTCTTTTAAGGTTCCATATTGCAACAGGTAAGCAGAAGGCCCAGGGCTACCACCTGTGATCAGTACTCCACTTCTAGTGCAGAATTTATATACCTAAAAAGTACATGCCAGAATCATACTCTGATCAAATATTTACCCTTGAGAAATGAATTGACTTTATTTCAAATAAAATGTGGAGAAACTCAGAATTAAGGATGTTCTCAAATGCAATGGAAGAATTAAAAGGCTGATAGTGTCATGAGAGTTAAAAGTTAAGCCAAAGTCCCAGCTCTAGTTTACTTGAGAGAACTAGTTAAACAAGAGAAAAACTAACAACCCTTCTGAGGTGTAACCTCACACAGTCATCTCAAAAACTACCCATGTAAAGGTGCCAAAATTCAATTGGACCAGAATATGAAGCAAGTTAAGTCCCAAGGCACTGTTGAAAACTATTGGGCAAATTGGCTGGGATTGTGTGGAGCTGGGTGTGAAACCAGAGGCACACTAATTAACAGGAACTCTGAGAAAGAGACACAAAGAACTCTATTAAGAATATTGTTATTGGAACTGTTATAAAATAAAAAATAAATAAATAACTATTAAATGCAAAAAAAAAAATGCTGTTATTGGGCTCTCCCTTGTGGCACAGCACAGTAGGTTAAAGCACAGCACTAAGAAGCTGCAGCCACTTCCACATGAGTTCGAAACCTGGCCCCAGAGGTGACCCACATGGCACGACAGACCTCTCCTGACCCACCCGCTGCTCCCCTCAGCAGTGTACTTCGTCTGTCAGCCTGTTCTGCTCCCCATTCTGTCTCTGGTGAATCCTCTCACCACCCTTGCAACTCTGGCCTGTAGCCCAGTTCTGTATGCACAAATAAATAAATCTAAAAAAAAAAAATACTATTATCCCAGTATATAAACTGTGCTTATGCTCAAGGCAGTGCCCTCTGAGGTGCAATATTAATGCTTTTCATTGTGGGAAAAATAGACCGCTAAAATAATCTACCCAGACATTAAAAATATAAAAAAGTAAACAATAGTAAAACACTCAACAGAGTAGGACCAATATCCATATTTCCTACAGTGTTAGTTTTGAGCAAAAAAGTAAAATGGGTACCTCCCTAGTGGCCTAAAGGTTAAGTCTCAAAGCTATCACTGCTATAGGCTCAGTTCATCCCCCACCAGGAAGCTAACCCACATATGGTACAGCAGATCTCTCTAGTCTCGCCTGCCATTTCTCTTAACAGTGAATCCACCTGTTTTGTTCCTTCATCTCTGGTGAATCCTTTTCTCTCACACACCTCTGGTCTATACCCTAGTTCTTCTATGCAAAAATAAATAAATTTAAAAAATGGGAAGAAAAAAGTGGCATATAAAAAAAAAAAAAAAAGGCAGGCAACAGATTCCACCCATGAAAGGGATTGACTGTCAGATTTAATTAAGATTTCAAAGTAAACATTCAAAGAAGCATAATATGTTTAGGACAGTAAAGGAAATGATGCTTAAAGAAGGAAAGTATGAAGAAGATATCACATCAATAGATTATCATAGAGAGTCAGATATTATTAAAAAACAAATTATATAGGACCTTGGTGGCCTAAGGATTGAGTCTCAGGCTATCATTGCTGAGGCCTGAGCTTGATTCCCAGCAGGAGAGTCAACCCACATGGTGCAGTAGACCTGTGCTTTCTAGCCTGCTGTTCCCCTCAGCAGTGTGTTTTAGTAAATCTGCCAGTTCTGCTCTCCACTATCTCTGGTGAATCCTCTCATCTCCTTGCACCTCTGTCATACACCCCAGTTCTTATATGCATAAATAAATACATCAATTCAAAAAGGTGACATTCGAAGGGAAAAAAAGGAACTATGTACCTAAAAGTATAACAACTAAAATAAAAAATTTAATAGAGAGCCTTAACAGTAAACTTGAATGGGCTTGATCAACAAATTATGCTATCCAAAAGACAAAGAGAAAAAGAAAGAAAAACAAACACAAAGAAGTCTCAAAGAAATACAGAATACTGATAAACACATAACGTAAGTACCAGAGAGGCACGAGAGATGCAAAGGAGTAGAAAAACAATTAAAAGAAATAATGGCTGATAGCATCTCAAATTTGATGAAAATCTAGACATGCAAATTGCTCAGCAACAGAAAAATGACCAATCATCTACAATTAGCAGTTGACTTCTCATGAAAAACAACAGAAGTCAGAAGTTAGTGAGATGACAATATTCTACTTGATGAAAGAAAAAAAATTGTCAACCAACAATTCTATATACATCAAAGGCAAAATAAAGATATTACCATCTAAAAACGTGAGAATGGGTTACAGGTATGACACAAAACAAAGGACAGTGCCCTCCCTGGTGGCCCACTGGTTAAAGCACAGCACTAAGAAGCTAAAGCCACTTCCGCATGAGTTCAATTCCTGCCTGCCCCAGAGGTGACCCACATGGCAAGGCAGATCTCTCCTGACCCACCTGCTGCTCCCCTCAGCAGTTTAATTCATCAGTCGGCCTGCTCTGCTTCCCACTCTGTCTCTGGTGAATCCTCTCACCACCCCTGCACCTCTGGCTTGTACCCCAGTACTATATTCGTAAATAAATAAATCTTTTTTTTTTTAAAGATTTATTTATTTGTTCATACAGAACTGGGGTACAGGCCAGAGGCTCAGGGGTGACGAGAGGCTTCACCAGAGACAGAGTGGGGAGCAGAACAGGCAGATCTATGAAGTACACTGCTGAGGGGAGCAGCGGGCGGGTCAGGAGAGGTCTGCCACGCCATGTGGTCACCTCCGGGGCAGGCGGGAATCGAACTCATGCAGAAGTGGCTTTAGCTTCTCACTGCTGTGCTTTAACCCGCTGCGCCACCAGGGAGGGACCGTAAATAAAAAAACTTTTAAAAAAAAAAAAAAACCAAAGGATATACTAAATGAAGTTTTTCTGGGTGAAAGCAACTGACCCCAAACAATAATTTGAACTCACATGAAAAGAATAAAGGGTGCTGGTAAATGTAAACTGAGAGCAAAAAAAAAAAATATGCATTGTTACTTCTGCTATTTTCTCTTAATTGATCTATTTTTTTTAAAAGATTTATTTATCTGTGTGCAGATTGGGGTACAGGCCAGATGTACAGGAGCAATGAAAGGATTCACCAGCAACAGAGTAGGGAGCATAACAGGCAGAATGAAGAAGTACACTGTTGAGGGGAGCAGTAGGGAGTCAGGAAAGGTCTGCTGCGCATCT